CTGCGTGGCGAGAACTCCATGTTCGGGATGCTCTACCACCAAACCATTTCTTTTTGTCCATTGGAGAGAACAGCCCAAACAGTCAACTAACTCACCAATGGGCAGTATAGTGGTAGGTATTTTCTCTCCCGCGTCCAAAGATCTCGGCATCAAGGTTCCAGCCTTGTTCTGTTTCAGGACAATGACCTTTCCATCAGCCAACTGAACACATACGTCCACTGCATCTTTGAGCTCAAACTCAGAACCAAGACGAAAGACGTGCGACGCTCCCGAGTCCAACAAGGCCATCTCTCCTTCCAACATGCCCCTCTCATCAAGCTCTTTCTTGACCTCCTCAAAGCTCGTAAGCTTCAGCATGGACAACTTGTTCATCTTCTTCAACATGGCATTCGCTTCTTGAAGGAGAGCCTTAAGGTCGGGATCAGAGCTCGTTGAAGTTGCCGAGGAGGGAGCCGGCATAGTGGAACTCGAAGATTCAACGTTCAACCCCGAAGAGGTGGCAGGTTGGGAACCATGGTGTTCGAGTTGCCCGACATTATCACCAGTGGTAGTAGAAGACGTAGAGGACCCAGTAGGAGCGGCAAGCAACGCAGCAGCCTTGGCCTTGGGATTCTTGTTTGTCTTCAAACTCTCCTTCGCCGGGCACTCGCTCTGACGATGTTGCTTGGAGCCGCAGAACCAACACCGGTTTCGCTTCTCCTCCTTGCTCGCAAACTCATGACCATACTGGCAACTCGTTCCCCGTCGACATCCAGCATCCGAGGCGAAGAATTTACAAGGAGTCTTGGTTGAAGTCGAAGATCTCGATTTTGGCGAAGGCCCCGAAGGAGATCCTGGAGATGTTGCCTCTCCTCCAGCTTGACTCGTATTCATAGCCTTCAACCTTGGATCACCACCACTTGACAGGTTCCTTGTTCTTCCCGGAGAAATCTGCTGTAGCTCTGCAAGAGCATGGTTGACAAACTTCATCAGAGCTACACGAGTGGGCCGACCTTGTAGTTGCAGCTCAATCTTGGCCAGGGAAAGACGAAGCTTGACCTCATGGTTCTTATCCACAGCCTTCTGAATGATGCACTCCACACCCCTCAAGAGCACACTGGAATCCGGCGCCGTGATGCCACTTTCTTCTGCCCGCTCGAGGTATCTGCACCACTTGCGAAGTTGGGTCACTGCATCGTTCGGATCCACTCCAGCAGAAGTGCCCTCGAGCTGCTTGAGAATGGTAGCTCTTTCTGAAGCTCCACCTGGCTGGTAAAGCACATGCAGCCTGAACAAAGCTGCTGCCGCACTTGAAACTCTGTGCGTCACAGCATCCTCCTTTGCCACAGACGGCATTGCTGCCAAAAGCAAAGTGAGAACCCTTCTTTCCAAACGGTTCCACTTGTCTTCCGAGAGCTCAGGAGACTTGTGAGGCCTGACCACTAACCTTTCCATAGGAGTAGCAAGCTGGCACTGCTCATAGGCCTTTCGCGCGCCTTTCAAAGTCTCCGAAAACCACCAAGCTGCACTGTCGGTCAAACCCCCTATAGTCTGCTCCGCCATATACAGCCAATCCGCAAACTCCACCGCCGAGTCGCTGGTCACCGGGGGCATAGGTTGCAACTCCACACCACCCTTCACAGCCTCAGCCTCCGGAGCATCCTTCTTGTTCAGGTAGACCTGCTGAAGCTGGCGCATCCCCTGAACAAGTAGACGAAGAGAGACTCCAACGTTGAGCTGTCACCAGCCATTTGTCCACAGCCGGTTTCCGAGGGGCTAGGTCCTTGCCCACCAGACTGAACACGAGCAGGCAATCCTCCCAAAGTTCCCCTAAGACCCGCTGCAGAACTTGAAGGCTCTCCCTTGGTACTCTGTGAACCGGCTCGTTTGCTAGCCCCGTCATCACCAGGAAGATCACCACCAAGTACACGACCTCGCCCATCTTTAGACGGTGCACCGAATGTCGCAGCACCAGAGACACTCCCAGCCAAGGTCTGAGGCTTCTGAACCTCACCCTCGGCTTGGGCTCGCAGCTCTCCAGCACACATTCCACCACCTTGGACCAGATCGCTAACCATCTCTGCCGACTCCTGTAGGGCTTTCTGCAACTGCTCGTTTTGTCTTTTCAGACCAGCAACCTCCTCATCCCTTGCCTGCATCGCCATTTGAACTTGCTTTCGAACCTCCTCCATTATCACTTCCTGCGGCAAGCTACCGCTGGAGCTGTCATCACGAACTGCTCTTGGATGATTCGGAGTAGTCAACAAGCTTGGTTGATGGGTCCACACACTCATCTGTTGCCTCAGCTCGGGAGACATCAATGGAGTGTAGGTAGGCGAAGGCTCCGGTTGAGGACTCTGCCATGGGGACTGTAATGATTGACTTCCACCACCCGCGTTCATATGCTCCATCACCGGGGAAACCACTCTCCTATGGAACATCTCCATGAAAGCCCACCGAGGACGATCTTCCCGATCAGGAGCCTGTTCAGCAGGTGCAAGGTTCGGCGGGGGTGTCGTGGGGGTAAAAGGATTCGGCATATCCTGGGCTTCAGCACCTGGAAAAGACTGTAGTGCACGTTGGGCTCGCTCTTGCACAGCTTGAAACATCACCGTTCTCTGCTGAGCCAACTGTTGCACCGCTTGTTGCATAGGCTGCGGGAGCCTTGACCTTGTCGACTGACCATCACGAACTGCAGCTTCTTGACCCGTAGCTGCAACTGACATAGACCCTCCAGGATCCCGTTGCGTCGTGGCCGAAGTCAAACTTGCAGTCACCTGTGATACAGGCACCGATGTCATTCCTGCTGGAGCCTGAGACGTAGCCACCGAAGTCATTCCTGTTGGTACTTGAGATGCAGCCACCGAAGTCATTCCTGCTGGTGCTTGAGATGCAGCCGCCGAAGTCATTCCTGCTGGTGCTTGAGATGCAGCCACCGAAGTCATTCCTGCTGGTGCTTGCTGCTGCTGAGAATGTTGCTCATGTAGGGGTTGGGGAGGGTGAACACTCGTTCGTGTTTGCAACGTACGCTCGTGCGACGATTCCGGTCCGGCTTGCGACGACGCAGCAGCATTCATCCGATCCGGTTGTCGTTGCTCCACTGCCTCTCCCATAGAACCACCTTCAGCAACCTGCACCACATGTGGTCCAGCAAAACCACTCCTTGGAACAGAGCCACATCCTTCATGTAGAGCATGGCTGGCTCGTTCAGTCCCATTAGGCAACTGAACGAGCCAGCCATGCTCTACATGAAGGATGTGGCTCTGTTCCAAGGAGTGGTCCGCGAGCATTCCGAAACAATCCAGCATAGTTCGGTCCTGCAGATTCACCAGGAAGTCGAACATCAGGTCGTGCCCCAGGAGCCCTTGGGCTCATAACCTGTTGGTGCAAAGCACCCCCAGGCTGTGCCCTCCGATCATGCCGAGCTGGATCCGATGTCATGCCCCACAAGAATCGATGCAGTCACGGAAAAACCATGGCAATGCGAATCTTTTCAGCTTCCTTCAAACGAGCAATGCAAGCTACAGCTTACGGTTCATGAGCCCCTCTATGGAAGTGGCCTAAGTGTTGCTGCCCTCATGTACTTCGTACCTCTCTTGGGCCTTTGCCACACATACACATTCCAAAGCTCCTCATCAACACACTCTCATCCAGCTTGCGGTAAGTGGTGCGAAGAGGGAACACCTGGGCCACGTGTTCCACCGGTGCAAGGCACCCCAAAGGGACGCCTTCGGCAAAGCATTCCAGGCCAATACACAAAATCTCATTGTCTGGGTCACCCACAGCGATCGGCTCAAAAGGGGGAGCAAGAAGGGCTGTCGCTCAGGCACCTGCGTTGCCAAGTCTGGATCACCCAAGCATCTTTGCAATTTTGAGCCGGGCTCCCTTTACCAGGCCTTCATCGAAAGGTGACTCCGCGGTTTTGCCCGTGGCTAGCTTGAAAGCCATCTCACGAGGATCCCACTTTTATTTGCTCACGCAGTCTTCGAGGATCTTGCCCACTAGCCTCGCATGCTCCCTTTCTGAGGGCGATACTTGTTTGCTATCGGTCTCGAGCCTTGCCGCACCCCCGAACCCTGCAGATGTGAAGCCTTCCACAGGATCCATCGCAACCCACTGTGGAGTAGTCGAAGCAGATCTGCCGCCCGTCCGGCGCGTTTGCCGTGAGTTTTCCTTTCCCTTTGCCCTTGCCATCGCTCCTGTCGCCCTTGTCGCCCTTACCACTGCTCCACTTGTCTTTTCCTTTCGGCTTCCCTTTCTTCTGCCATCGCCAGTTGTCCCAGGTTGCATCGGCAGGAAGGGGACGTTTAGCAGTCCACTCAGCCGCAAGTGCCTGCTCGACAGAGTTCTGGAGGGCGATTGGGGACGTAAAGAATTGTTCTTTCAACTGGGCACATGCAACGACGTCGGTCAGAGTCTCATCCAAGGAGCGGTTGTTGTGGTAGGCTCGCTTGACAGCTTCTTTGCGAAGTTCGTACTCATAAGAGAGCAAGATTGCCCAAGGGGGCCTGATTGGAACCTGACCGCTTCTCCCCTTGCCGCTGGAAGTGGGGATGGTCATCAGGTAGACCTTCTCGCCAAGCATGTACGAAGTGTACTTGTCCCATGTAGCTGGGGTCAGATCGCGGAAGAAGATTCGGTTGCGGAATTTGGCGCTGAGGAGGATCCAGGTGTTCCCCTCCACGTTCAGTTGTGCACGAAACTCCTCAGTTGTCTGTGGCAGTTGCCCCTTTTGGCGGGTCTTCAAGACACGAACTTGTCCCCCTTTGTCCAATGAAGTTTGCAGCCCCACTGTCTTGACAGCCTTTCGATTCGTCACCTCACTGGGCATGGACGCCACTGCCTCGTGCGAGCTGAACTCCTCAAGTTTTTGTGGAAAGGTAATCGTCAGAGGGCTCATAGAGCTCTTCCAGCCGTCCATGTGTGGCCTCGAAAGCAGCACGCATCGCAGCCTTCGCAGATTGTGTCACTGGGCGAACGATTCCCATCACCTTCGCCTCTGCTTTCAGCTCCGTCTCCTTCTGCGTGTAATCTCTGCATGCCTCCCAGGCACCCACCACGGAGGCTACTGCTGCGCGCGTGGCCAAACTATTTGCTTCCAAGGCCAGATCGTCTCGCAAAGCCGTACGCACGCCAGCTCGATCATCAGCATATGCAGCAAAGCGCTTGACGGTCCGGAATGCCTGCGTCAAGCGAAACTGCAGGCCCAGGGCAACCCCGCTGTCCTGCAAGATCAATGCAAGTTCAGGCTCTACTACATTGGTCAAATGTGTTTTCGCATCTACTTCCGTAGTGCCCGCTGGGAGATCCAGTGGTCCCGGCGCAGCCATAATCCCTCAAGGATTGTCTGGTCTTCAGACCATGCAAACAACTTGATCCAAAACTTAGATGCAACTGACCATCAGGCGCTGTAATCATTTGAACGGCCTTCAGGCGCGTCAAGGCATGCACGTTTAACCCACACAAGCAACAAGAAAACACCCTCAAGTGCATGCAAAGCAAGAACTCAGGCACTTCTCTCTCTCAGCTCAACCTTCATCGACCCCAGCCCCCTCTTCATGGAGAGCAGGTTCGGCATCATTGCTTGGCTCACAAGCAAACACTTCAGACCGCTACTTGAGACCTCCTCGGCATTGTCAGCATCCAAGTGTCGTTGGCACAGCTTGCAAACCGCATCGGCACAATCATCCGTAACTCTGTTGAGCGGTTTCGTCTCCAAGCATCGTTCCCGCCTGACAGCGCAGGCTGCGAAAACCGCTGCGTGAAATAGTCACATAATAAGGCGCAGTCTCCTCCTCAACCACTGCCTCCATGACAGCTCGCTCGTCAGGCGAGCCTCCCCGCACGGCTGGCAATACCTCAGGTCGAACACGCAGCATAGGGTATTCGCCCCCGAGCTTCCATGTCTTATGACTCTCATCCCACTCCATAACAGTATGGCGCGCACGTACCACATGACGTTGCCCTTGCGCAGCATTCACATGCTCTTGCATCAGCGTGTGCAACTCCCCCTCCACGTAACCTGGCGGTCCAGTCCCTTCAAGGAGCGTACGACACACAGAAGATTGTATCCCATGCACGACTTGTCTGCTCGTCAGGATGTCGTCAAAACTTCCATGTTGTGCCGCCGCCCAGCGCCCCAAGAAGTCACGTTGTGATTTGCTGACGCCGCATGCCGCTGCCAAAGATGGCAACGTGTGGCGCCCTGAGTGTCCGGTCCAGAAAGTTAACAGCTCTTCGGGCACCAACGATCCTGGCCTAGACGCTTGCCACATGCCATTGTTCCCGCGCACTGGCGCTCGCAGTTGTTTCAAGAGCGACCGGATGTTCACAGCCACTCCATCGGCCCCCACATACTCACGCTGCGCCGTTGTCCAGCCATGTTCGAAATTCACGCAAAGGAAGTCTCTCTGAAAATCTAGCTCAGCATCCCGCAACAATCCACATCCAGCGCGGATCCAATCAAAACCAGTGAGTGATGTTGCTCTGCTAACAAACGCCTGCAGCCGCCCCACTGGCTTTCCAGCTCCCGATGTCTTCGTGCGGTTCAGTGGAAATTTCAACCCCAGCTGTGAAAGGGTCATCTCCTTAGGGTCCACGTGTTGTAGATCATCCAATCGCAGTGTTGCCCAAACAGTCAGCAACAAGATGAAAGCGTAGAAACGTAAACCGATGGTTTCATCATCCATGCAGATCATGAGCTCGCACGACAACAAGATTGCAATGCTGTACATCTGCGCTTGCTTTGTTGGGGGAGCATCTTCTTCGAGCGTCATCGTCCAATGTCGAATGCCCTCTGTAAACAACACGTCCTCGCAAATCCGCTGCTCCATCGGTACCTGACCTACGGTCTCCAACAGGGCAATCGTACTGCATACAGACTTGGGTACTGTCTTTCCCAAGAGCATAACCTCGTGTCTCTCTTCCAGATACCTCAAGACCATCTCAGAGTTAGCCGGCCAAGATAAATCAAAAGTTGCTAAAAGCCATTCACCCAATTTCCTATAAGTGGTCACCCTGTTGCGCAATGTCTTTGAGCGTCGTGACCCAAAAGCACGCTTCCAGAAATGCTGCGGCTGCCCAGCTTCATCGTACCTGGCAGCTGCCGGAAAACCTGCCTGGCGAATTATGTCAGCCAGCTCCATTGCCCATCGGGTACGTTCAGCTTCTTCCACTTCACCCCGGTTGCCCGGCAAGGCCGCGCGCCTCGTTTTCAGCTGACGAATCAAGCTCTGCACACTCACCCTTGGCTCGCGTGCCACCAGGGCTTCGTAGTGTTCCCCCAGGGACGCTTCAACTCGGGGCAGCTTCAGTGGCCCCGCTCTCTGCGTTCTTGTTGCACCATTCAAGAAAATCCTGCGCTATCATCTGCCGCTCAAATGGTTGCATCTGTCCAGCGAGGGCATCCTCCACCAATGCAAAAGCGGCTGCCTCGCAATGGCCTGCCAATGCAACCTGCTCAGGACTGGTAAAGTGTGCCTTCAGCGCAATATACAATGCATGTGACACCTGAGACAAACTGTCCCACTCGCCAGAGTGCTCGTCGCCCATAAGTCAGTGTTTACTGTAGGCACCCAGCTGTAACGTGCCTCATTTGCATGGGCATGATCTGCCCTCCAATGACATGAGTGTCAACAAAGCAGCCCTGCAGATCTGGCATCCCGATGCATGCGCCGAAGGTCTCTACTGCCCCTACGACTCAAAATTTTCTTATCCAGCCTTTCATGAGCCTCAAAGCACAAACCAATTGTTCAAGCAAGTGGTCAACGAAGTCAAGGAGGCAAGGCAATGAAACTCGCATCAGTAGCACAAAAATCTTCACTCTCTGGAGCTCACACTTGAGCACAAATTTGCTTAGTGTCCCACTATATAAGGTCTCTAGGGCGTGTTTGTGGCCCTCAGAGGCATGAAAGCACCCACCCACCTCCCCTCAAACCCCCCCGACAAACCCCTGGGGCAGGGCCCAAAAGGTAGGTTTGAAAGGTTTTGAAGCCAATAAATTCTCAAAAAGCTTAACGTTGAAAATTTAAATGGAGGTCCAATTAAATTTTAAAGGGCGCGGGCCCCCTTTAAAATCTTTAAAGTCATGAAATTTTTCGAAATCTTTAATTTATAATTGGACCTCCATTTTCATTTACATGGTTTTAAAGGTTTCCTCAAATAAATTTTAAAGGGGCGGGCCCCCCCCTTCAAAATCTTTAAAATATTTGAATTTAATTGGACCTCCATTGAAATTTAAATAGTTTTAAAGGTTTTAAAGCCTTTAGATTCCTTTATAAAATTTACTTGGGGAGGCCCTCGAGTAAAAATTAAAGAGGCAGTAAGGAGGAGCTCCCTGCTGCGCTCAGCTGGGAGGGCTTGCGCCTTCTCCACCTCATACAGATGGAGGGTTTTGTGCTGTTCTTCCAGTTGGCTTTGGCCGAGACTGAGCTGGACAGTCCTCTGCGCGTTTTACTTTGGCATAACACCTCCTCCGAGGATTTTCCAGTGAAGCTCAGCCTGCAACTCAAGACTTCCCAGCACCGTCTTTCTTCATACATTGATGTGGTTCCAACATTACCGAAAAGTGTGCGATTTGGCAAGCATGCTCCAAGGAACTAGAAGCCCTTGACAGCGCCGCCAAAACCCAAAGGCTGCTAACTTGACACTCCTCAGGACTCCCAAAAGAGCAAGGGAGCAGGAACCAAAACGACCCCGGGTGGACTCGAGCCACCATCAAAGGTGTGTCAGTGCCAACAGCTGGCTCTGCAACAACAACGCCTTGCCCATTAGGCCACTGGGTCCCTGATTTTTCGGCTTTAAAATAAAATCTTTAGCGTCTTGCTGGCAGGTGAAATAGCGGAGCCTGGTTTCGATCCAGGGACCTTTGGGTTATGAGCCCAACACGCTAACCACTGCGCCACTCCGCTCCTGCACAATGGGTGGGAAGGTTGACTTTATTTTCAAGTGGAGGGTTTTTGACTCTTCCCTGTCTGTTCTCTTGTTTTGTTGATGAGTTGCACAGGCCTTGTTTTGCAATGGGCGTAAGACCAACAAACAAGGGACGCTTACGCAAATTAACATTACAAGATCAGTGGACGACCTCGCAGACTCTTATGTTTCGGGCCATTTTCTGGCATACGTTTTGGCAGCAAATGTCCTCACCATACAGAATTGACAGCTGTTTTGGGCCCCCACATGCCCACAGCATCACAGTGAGCTTCAAGACCGGCACGTCTCTAACACGAATGTTTATCCAGCTTCGGACGAGAATGTCAAACAAAGAAAGCACGATTGAACCAACTCTCCGATTAGACGATCCACGATTTTACGCGCAACAATGAGTTAGAACTTCGTGCGCCACTCAAGCTTACCTTTAAGCCAACAAAGAACAAAGACACATTGAGCCTACACTTGGTGTGGTTCAGGGAGAGCGCAACGCTTACAGCAACGCACTCACTCGGACGTTCCTTTTTTTCACGTGGAAGCGTGGGCAAGCATGCACATGCGGGCCTCATGCCACGCAAGGACAAACCTTCTGCCTTGGAAAGCCTGTGTAGATCTACTTGGCACCTCATGCAAAGTTGCAATACGAACCCAGCACTAACTCCCCCGGACGAGGAGAGCCATGCAGGCAGAAGGAGATCCACAGGCGGGATCCGTCAGGCACGGATCGGACACACCCACTGGGATGGGCGGGCGGGCAAAGTAAATTTTCTGCATCTCTCAGCTGTCAGCCACTGTTACCGGGCATGAAGACTGCATACAAGCTGTCAAGGTGACATGCAGAGAGAACAAGAAAGATGGGCATGCAGAAAATTTTGAAAGCACTGTGAAAACTCTTGTTGTTTTTCTTAAAGGCACGGTTGCAGGCAACCTAAGCATTCGCTCCTCACGAAGGCGCTATCAACAAGTTGACAGCAAGCTTCGTGCTCCACTCAAGCTTACCTTTAAGCCAACAAAGAACAAAGACACATTGAGCCTACACTTGGTGTGGTTCAGGGAGAGCGCAACGCTTACAGCAACGCACTCACTCGGACGTTCCTTTTTTTCACGTGGAAGCGTGGGCAAGCATGCACATGCGGGCCTCATGCCACGCAAGGACAAACCTTCTGCCTTGGAAAGCCTGTGTAGATCTACTTGGCACCTCATGCAAAATTGCAATACGAACCCAGCACTAACTCCCCACATTATCCGACTTTCACCTTTTTACCTTTTTCCTTAAGAAGTTTTCGAAAACAGCCTTAAGGCTGCACCAACCAAAGTATTGCCATGAACGTAGGACTCCAGCTTTGTTCGAGAGGGATGGTCAGCAGGGTTAGACGGAGAAGGAACCCTGGCGTACCACGCTTTGACATCGAACTGCTCCTCGCTCTCCAGCAAGACATTTAGAAGTGCTTGTGCATTGTCAGACCTCGTGCAGCCTAAAATCGCGATGTCGCGGGAGGCATTGTTATCAACGAACCACAGCACAGGTGCATGTCTGATAACGTGTCCCCATACAAGCTGCGAAACGATAACTGCCAAAAGTTCAGCTTCAAAAATGACTGTCTTTCGAAAACCCTCGGTCAATGCTTCAATCTGCCAGCGCTCAAGTTGCTCGGAAAAGGCGCCTAGGAGTTTACCTCTGTCAGAGAACAGCAGGCCGCCAATACCGCACACCCAGTCCGATGCCTCTGGGTCGAAGCAGGCGTCCGTGAAGATGACGAATTTTTCTCGCAAAGATCCGTTCAAGACTCTGGGTTTGTGCTCCAGAAGCATCTTCCTGAACCTGTCCAAAGCGAAAACGCAATCCTCACACAAGGTATCGGACACATCACTATAGGCGTGCTTGGTGACTTGTCTGAGGCACATCCTAGCGGACCTTCCAAACAACTGACTGTCAGCAAACTGCATGCGTCCCCTTAACCTCAAGGCCAACGGCTGTTTGAGGGAACCAGCGTCGAGTATGTCGCCAATGGACCCACAGAGTTCGCTCACCCTGGATGGGGTGTTTGCAAACTTCACAACTTTGTTCGCGCTCTCCTCTAAATCGACGACGATGCCAAGAGCTTCGAAAGACCTCCTGAACGGCAAGTCCTTCTTTCCGTCACTGGACAGTGTCCAGCCCAGGAGCTTGAATAAGCGTTTGATGGTATCGTCAGTGCTGTGTGCGAGGTTGCCCGAACAAATCGTGATGAAGTCATCAAAATAGCAAACCCAAGGGAGGCTTAACCCAACAGTCCCTATGAACCAGATGCTATGCACGACGCGTAGAAACGAATAAACGCTTCTGCACGCGCCGAAAGGCAACGCTTTGAGCCTGAAGCATACGGCGGCACGCTCATGGTCCCAGATGCAAACAAACGAGCACCAAGCGGAACTCTGGGACACCGCCAGCTGTCGATATGCTGCTTCCAAATCATGGGTACGACCCAAGAGTGGCTCATTGGTGGACCTTATGAGCTGAATGGCAAGTGCAGCAAGAACGTCGGTGGAATGGGGCTTTGGAGACTCATTTGTTTGGACACACGAGTTGACGTGCAATGCACTGAGGTCGTCGATCAGGCGCACCTTTGACCCTTGCTGGATCCCGAACCGGCGAGAGACTACTGAACCGTTAGGCAGCTCAGACGGATCAAAGGGCCCTTCTAACCAACCTTTCTGCAGCTCTTCAAGGGTTTGCTTTTTTACCTCTTGGTCAAGCATGTCACCCTGCGACTTAACACTCCGGAAGACACTGTGCCTGCCCTCATCGGCGGTGTCTCGCAACAAGTCCTCGGACATTGCAGTGGGTTTGAAAACAGGGTTAAATAACCCAGTACTCGGAACTTCACCAGTCAACACGGTCCCTGAAATCACCTCCTCGATGACTGTTTTGTCAGAGTAGTTGAGGTCATCCAAGATTTCGCGCCAGACAAGAAGGTTTTTAGGTTCAAGGATGTCTCGGACGTCGGAATGAGGTATGACTTTCAAGCTGCATTGACAATCCGCAGGCACCGGCCAAGCCTTCTCGAGGCGTTGCATGGGTTGGCAAGGCGGGACCAGGCCGGCGGCAGGCCCCCGAACCACGCAAGTGGTCTTATACTTCGGAACCAAGGGTGGCACTTTGCCAGCATTTGGCTGAAGTCCAGCCAAGCTGCGTAACGCCGGAAGCTGGAGGCCCGGCGGCTCGACAGTGGGAAGGGCACTCGCGAAGCACTGCGCAATGGCATGAGCTAAGAGACGAGGGTAGGCGGTCTCCCGACTGGTGGCGAAACCGTTGGGGGCCGTGGAGTCGACGCCCCAAGACGCATGCGCAGGGCAGCCGGGACACAGTTTGCACAAGGACTCGAAAGAAGGATGCGTGTTGGCAATCCGGGTGAACTTGGGACGGTCGCCACCATAGGCGCGCCTGGTGATCCACATGGCGAAAAAGCATGAGCCACGTCGCGCCAAAAGGAAGTCTTCCAAAACAAGGATGACCGCGGATTCTCCACAGCAATCAAGATGCCACGCTGCAAACCCAGGCGCACGGCCTGGCGAAGCGCCAGGTAGCTTTCGTTGGCGAGGCGCACACGGCGAGCATCACCGGGGGGGAGATCGGGAATACCGTCCGGGTGACGGTCTGACCGCAGAGGCCGGGACACAGGCACCGGGTTGCCCTGGCTGTCCCAGCATGGAATGCCACGGGCCATAGAACACGTGCTACAAGCCGGAGCGGCGAACAACCCCAAGACGCGCGGGTTTTGCACAAGTTGGAGCAGCTGGGCAAGGCCGTCTGGCGTAGAGACATCGAGCACCAGGGCGGGGCGGCACACCCAACGCTTTTGACCTTGTCAATGGCAACAGCCTCAAAAACCAAGTGCACGCAGGGCCGCAGTGACGCAGAACAACCCCAAAATTAAAGGCGGGATGGGGGGCGTGAGGGGCCGCACAGGGGCAGGCTGGACTAGGGAACCGGAACTAAGGAAACCCAAACTGAGAAGCTCTTGTCTTTCCTTCTCGGACAGCCGCTCCCAACCCGAAGGCAATATCCCACAAGCAAACACCGAACGCCTTTCCAAGGGAGTGTGGCATGCAGGCGGCTGGCGTCTAAGGTCTGGGGCCCCAAACTGACGCGGAGCCGTATGCCCAGGACATCGTGCCCCGCCAGCGGAACACCGCCAACGGGAGATTCTTGCCAGACGTCGCCGTCCCGGAAAAGGCTGAGCGGCAGAAGCAGGTTGGGGAAACCAGGCACGTTACAGGAGTCAACGTACGGTTCCACGCGCAGGTTTGTGAACACAGCAGCATTCGTGAATGCGTGGCCAGGGAAGTGCTGGCGAAGTACCGGGGAGGCCCCGCATGAGCGGCAGCGGAAAAGCAACACATTCATGGATCCTGAAATGGGCCGCGGAAAAATGACATCTGGCACTATTACGAGAAAACTTGTGAAGAAGACTTGCAGGAAACTTTCGATTCTGAGAAAGCAACAAAACCTTTTCTGTCCTTGAAAAGCAAACCCTTACAAATAACAGAAAAACTCCTGGAAATTCTACCCTGCTCAAACCCATAGAATTTTCTGAAACCTCGCGGAAACCTTCGGAAACCCAAGCGGAAACCCAGCGGATACCCAGCGGAAACCCTCAGGCCCTCGGAAACCCGTGGGAAACCCAAGGAAACCAAGCGGAAACCCAGCGGAAACCCAGCGGAAACCCTCGGAAACCCTTGGGAAACCCAAGGAAACCCAAAGCCGGTATTCGGAAACCCATCGGAAACCCCTTAGAACAGAGCCGATTCACCCTTTGGAAAATTACAAAGGTTTAATGAAGGGGAGCAGTGCAGGCAAGGATCGGACGCCGCCTCCAGTGTTATATTACCGGCGGTTTGCAGAGGGTGAGTGACCAGCAGACACATTGTCAAACTTCACCGCTCCCGTGCATGCTTTGCCGGAGGCCACATGCGTTCACGCGCAGACAACTCTGGAATTCAAAAGGCTGCACTGCAATTTACTGCAAGGGATCACTTCTGTGAGCACCACACACAGCGCAGACTTCCACCAAACATGGACTTCAGATACAAACTTCTTCACAAGCGCACTCACTGGTCACTGGTCACTGGTCCACCTGATCGGGAGGGCTTGGCTACGCGCTGCTACCAAAACTGCAAGAGCCCTCCTCTAGACTCGAGTCTAGCAACTCCACGACCTATCTCATCGCAGTACTCTACGCAAAACTCGAAAAAAATGCCGGCGCAGCGTTCCCAGCAGCTCTGCTGTCACCACGGATGAAAATAACACTCGGGAACACATCGTCTAGCCATTCACAGCAGCTACCAGGCTACCACAAGGAAACTGCTCTTGGGAGATATTTCACGCGCATCTAGCAAGCTGACGAGGTGCGATAAACGTCAGTCAGAGACAGACACTGGCGGAGTCTGCGCCAGGCGCCAGCGCAACGCGCACGCAACTCCTGTCAATGGCATTTCCACTTGTCTCAGCTGCTCTGCAGCCTCGTTCCCACTGGCTCCAGGACCCCAAAGCTGCTAATACAGCGTATGGCAAGAAGCTCACTGCCACTATTAAAAGCATGTTTTCGAAGATTCTGAAATGAACGGCAGCATGTTGAAAACCCTGCCCAGCCATTTGAAACCTCCCACTTCGCAGACTTTTCGTTGCAAATGCTAGTAGCTAGCAAACTCGGGCTCAGATGGCAGCAAGAGCTAGTCTGGTTTTGAAAAACCATAACAAACCTAGCAAATCATCTACTGGAAAGAATTCCAAATCTTGTAGATAGCCAAAGCTTCATGGGCAGAAACTGCGACTCTGAAAACAGGTCCAGAAATAACACGAAAGCCGTGGCCGCGCAAGCGTGACCTCCAGAGTTCATCTTCGTCCGGTCGCCAATGCCATTACCAAACACGAGCGGCGCTTCAGAACCACAGAGCAACAGCACAAGGAAGAAGGGCGGCAGAGACCGAAGACGGCGCGTCAGCTCCAGGCTAACTCGGGCCCATTTTCGGGGCCAAATTCCGGCCCCAGAGCTGTATCTGGCGACCCCCGATTTTGGGCTTAGGCGTAAGACAAACACCAATTCAGACGGCCCCAAAAATGGGGCCACCAAAAACCATTCCAGGGGCCATCAAGCAACCTCATTTTCGGGCCCCGACAAGATCGACCTCTATTGGCACTGGCACAGCCTTCCATAATGGTTTCGGAAATCTTAAGCTGCGTTGGACCTGCAACAATCCCAACCAGTGTAAGCTTGTGCAAAGAACCTTATACCTCTGCAACAATACTCGTCCTTTACCGGGGAGGCCCCGCATGAGCGGCAGCGGAAAAGCAACACATTCATGGATCCTGAAATGGGCCGCGGAAAAATGACATCTGGCACTATTACGAGAAAACTTGTGAAGAAGACTTGCAGGAAACTTTCGATTCTGAGAAAGCAACAAAACCTTTTCTGTCCTTGAAAAGCAAACCCTTACAAATAACAGAAAAACTCCTGGAAATTCTACCCTGCTCAAACCCATAGAATTTTCTGAAACCTCGCGGAAACCTTCGGAAACCCAAGCGGAAACCCAGCGGATACCCAGCGGAAACCCTCGGAAACCCGTGGGAAACCCAAGGAAACCCAGCGGAAACCCAGCGGAAACCCAGCGGAAACCCTCGGAAACCCTTGGGAAACCCAAGGAAACCCAAAGCCGGTATTCGGAAACCCATCGGAAACCCCTTAGAACGGAGCCGATTCACCCTTTGGAAAATTACAAAGGTTTAATGAAGGGGAGCAGTGCAGGCAAGGATCGGACGCCGCCTCCAGTGTTATATTACCGGCGGTTTGCAGAGGGTGAGTGACCAGCAGACACATTGTCAAACTTCACCGCTCCCGTGCATGCTTTGCCGGAGGCCACATGCGTTCACGCGCAGACAACTCTGGAATTCAAAAGGCTGCACTGCAATTTACTGCAAGGGATCACTTCTGTGAGCACCACACACAGCGCAGACTTCCACCAAACATGGACTTCAGATACAAACTTCTTCACAAGCGCACTCACTGGTCACTGGTCACTGGTCCACCTGATCGGGAGGGCTTGGCTACGCGCTGCTACCAAAACTGCAAGAGCCCTCCTCTAGACTCGAGTCTAGCAACTCCACGACCTATCTCATCGCAGTACTCTACGCAAAACTCGAAAAAAATGCCGGCGCAGCGTTCCCAGCAGCTCTGCTGTCACCACGGATGAAAATAACACTCGGGAACACATCGTCTAGCCATTCACAGCAGCTACCAGGCTACCACAAGGAAACTGCTCTTGGGAGATATTTCACGCGCATCTAGCAAGCTGACGAGGTGCGATAAACGTCAGTCAGAGACAGACACTGGCGGAGTCTGCGCCAGGCGCCAGCGCAACGCGCACGCAACTCCTGTCAATGGCATTTCCACTTGTCTCAGCTGCTCTGCAGCCTCGTTCCCACTGGCTCCAGGACCCCAAAGCTGCTAATACAGCGTATGGCAAGAAGCTCACTGCCACTATTAAAAGCATGTTTTCGAAGATTCTGAAATGAACGGCAGCATGTTGAAAACCCTGCCCAGCCATTTGAAACCTCCCACTTCGCAGACTTTTCGTTGCAAATGCTAGTAGCTAGCAAACTCGGGCTCAGATGGCAGCAAGAGCTAGTCTGGTTTTGAAAAACCATAACAAACCTAGCAAATCATCTACTGGAAAGAATTCCAAATCTTGTAGATAGCCAAAGCTTCATGGGCAGAAACTGCGACTCTGAAAACAGGTCCAGAAATAACACGAAAGCCGTGGCCGCGCAAGCGTGACCTCCAGAGTTCATCTTCGTCCGGTCGCCAATGCCATTACCAAACACGAGCGGCGCTTCAGAACCACAGAGCAACAGCACAAGGAAGAAGGGCGGCAGAGACCGAAGACGGCGCGTCAGCTCCAGGCTAACTCGGGCCCATTTTCGGGGCCAAATTCCGGCCCCAGAGCTGTATCTGGCGACCCCCGATTTTGGGCTTAGGCGTAAGACAAACACCAATTCAGACGGCCCCAAAAATGGGGCCACCAAAAACCATTCCAGGGGCCATCAAGCAACCTCATTTTCGGGCCCCGACAAGATCGACCTCTATTGGCACTGGCACAGCCTTCCATAATGGTTTCGGAAATCTTAAGCTGCGTTGGACCTGCAACAATCCCAACCAGTGTAAGCTTGTGCAAAGAACCTTATACCTCTGCAACAATACTCGTCCTTTACATCTTCGTCCGGTCGCCAATGCCATTACCAAACACGAGCGGCGCTTCAGAACCACAGAGCAACAGCACAAGGAAGAAGGGCGGCAGAGACCGAAGACGGCGCGTCAGCTCCAGGCTAACTCGGGCCCATTTTCGGGGCCAAATTCCGGCCCCAGAGCTGTATCTGGCGACCCCCGATTTTGGGCTTAGGCGTAAGACAAACACCAATTCAGACGGCCCCAAAAATGGGGCCACCAAAAACCATTCCAGGGGCCATCAAGCAACCTCATTTTCGGGCCCCGACAAGATCGACCTCTATTGGCACTGGCACAGCCTTCCATAATGGTTTCGGAAATCTTAAGCTGCGTTGGACCTGCAACAATCCCAACCAGTGTAAGCTTGTGCAAAGAACCTTATACCTCTGCAACAATACTCGTCCTTTACCGGGGAGGCCCCGCATGAGCGGCAGCGGAAAAGCAAC